CGATAACCTCTACAATTTGGCAAAGGACCAATTATGTCTATATGAACATTATCCAATCTCTTAGTGGAATCTACAAATTCGCCAATTTGCAATCTTGTGTGTCTGCATGAATTATTTTTCTGACATGCGATACAAAATTTCACCCAATGTTGAATATCTTTATTCATTTTTGGCCATACAAATCGTGAACCTATAAGTCGCTGTGATGCTTTAACTCCCGGGTGGGATAAAGAATGTAGTGTTTGAAATATAGATTCTCGAAATTCCTTAGGAATGAAAGGTCTTGGTTTTCCTTGGCTCATATCACATATAAAAAAGCTTGAAGAAAATGGTAGAGATATTTCTGAGATCTTGAGAGATGTATTATTAGAAGTCATAATATATTTCAGTTCCTTATCTAATTTTTGACATTCTGCTAATTTTTCAAAATCCACTCCTTCAACAACAGCATTCGTCAATGAATTGATATCAATTCGAGACAACGCATCTGCGACTACATTATCAGCACCTTTAATATGACGTAAGTCTGTAGTGAAAGTAGCAATAAAATCGAGATGTCTAATTTCTCTAGGATTATAATTATCAGACGAAGATTTGATTGCTGACACCAGCGGCTTATGATCTGTCAATATATGGAATTGACGCCCTTCTACAAAATACCGAAAATGTTTTATGGATAAATATATCGCTAACAGTTCTCTACCGAAAGTACTGTATCGCGTTTCAGCACCTGAAAATCTTTTTGAAAAAATGACAATGGACGCCAGTTTCCATTGATTTTTTGTTGCAAAACAGCGCCAAGTGAATTTTCTGAAGCATCGACCATAATGTTTGTTTCAGCATTTTGTTCAGGAAATAATAATAGACACTGTTTTGACAAAGTTAATTTGATTTTTTCAAATGACTCTGATGTTTCGACATCCCATGGTATAATTTTATTTTCATCCGATTTATTCTTTGCTGTTGACAATAATGAATTTAAAGGACCTAAAATCTCAGCACAATTGGGTATGAACCTATTGTAAAAGTTCACTAAACCAAGGAATTTTCGTAACTGTCTGATAGAATTTGGCGAAGTAAATTGTTGTATAGCATTGGTCCTCTCTTCCAGAGGTTCTATACCATAGCAGTTTATTTTATGTCCCAAAAATACCAACTCCGAAACACCAAATTGACATTTATCAATATTCAAGACAATGCCATATTCTTCTAACTTCTGAAATAGTAATTCCACATGATGAAGATGCTCGTTCATATCTTTACTCGCTATTAGAATATCATCTATATAAACAAACAAAATTTCAAATCGCGAGTAATTTCATGTATGAAACGTTGAAAAGATTGTGCGGAATTCCGAAGACCGAAAGGCATTGAAACATATTCGAAAAGACCGAACGGCGTACAAATTGCAGTTTTTTCAATATCCTTGGGATTAACTGGAATTTGATGATACGCCCGGACTAAATCGATTTTAGAAAACACTTTAGAACCTTGGAGCTGCAAAGCAAAATCATAAACATGAGGAATTGGGCATCTGTCTGGTTTTGTTATATTGTTCAGAGCCCTGTAATCTCCACAAGGTCTCCAATCACCATTTTTTTTGAGCACCATGTGCAAAGGTGAAGACCAGTTGCTTGAGGAGGGTCTGATGATTCCTTGTTTCATCAACATATCAAACTCTTTTTTGGCTATCTCCAACTTCTCTGGCGATAAACGCCTTGGTCTAGAAAATACCACTGGTCCTGTTGTTCTGATATGATGAAAAGTATTATGTTTCGTTCCAGGACAAGTTTTGTTTTGATCGAGGATGGACTTATACTTTGACATTAAATTTTTGAAAGTTTGAGAAAAGTCATGACTGACAACTGTACAATTGATAGGTAATGTATTGGTACCAGTACCTTTGATAGCAATCCTCCTTGATACATCTTTGAGAGTCAAGTTACACATATCTACTAATAAATTGAAATGACTGAGAAAATCAGCACCAATAATCGGTTGTTTAACATCGGCAATGATAAATTCCCATTGATATTCATAATCACAAAAATTCAATGAAATTGATTTATGACCGAAAACTGAAATTTTTGAATGATTGGCAGCTGGAAAATGAGTAAATGTTTGTTTATTCTGAAAATCGGCATATTCAGGTGGCAAAACACTCACCTCACTACCACTGTCTACTAAACAATTTTTTTGTTTCTTGAATCGGTTACAAAAAATAGACGGCTTCGTTGTATTCCAGCTGAACTCGCCGTCTTTAGTGGCTGGATTCTCCGTTTTCCTGCCACTGACAAGGTTCCTGACATTTGTTTGCTTTTCGTCCAAACTTCTGGTGATACCAGCAAAGTTTTGATTTCGGTGAGAATTGTATTGGTTTATTTATGGGTTGTTTCACTTGATTCTCCATCAACGATTTAACCAGATTTTTCAAATCGGCCAGTTCAGAAGAAAGTTTATTATAATCAGATTCTGATTGCTTCCGAATACTATTCATGGATGGGTCGGACGAAGTTGTTTGGAGCATATTGTCTGCAATTTGTGCTAATTTGTTGACATCCATACTATCCTTTTGAGCAGTTAAAACCAATGTAACCTCAGAGGGTAAATGTTGCAAAAATAGCTCTTTGAAAAATGCTTCCTCAATTTCTAGGAAATTATCACCTAGAAGTTGTTGCATATATATCTTAATATCTGCGAAGGTTTTCGATCATTAAAATCAGACTTGGACATCAAAAGTTGAATTTTCTTTGTATTGGAAACTGTGAAACGTTTGATGATTTCTTGTTTTAAGATGTCATACGGCATTTCTGCAGACGGGTTCAATAAAACGTCACGAACTTCACTGGCAACTTCTGGTGATAAAGCAGAAATCAAATGATTGTACCTGATTTTTGAATCCAGAATGTTCTTGTTCAGGAAAATTGCTTCTACTTGAACGAACCATAAAACTGGATCACTATTCCAAAACTCAGGTAATTTCACATTCACCATTGAAGAGGTTGAATCTTGATTCCACTGAGAAGGCTGAACCGTTGGACTAATTTGTCGTTGATGCCTAGGCATTTGTAGGCAGGTCGGGGTCACCAATATAGAATAATTGTACTTTATTAGTTAATAGGAATATATATTGACATAATCTCCATATCCTTCAGAAAATTGATTATTAAACAAAGTCCCCCAAATCGTTATGGCAATCCTGAACCTACAAAGTGTTGGGGTCACTACACATGTACCAATTTGAAGCAAAATATCATACAATTGAAAAAAAAGGGGGGGTTCCATTTAAAAAAAATAGTAATGACGTCATTACACGAAAGTGGTTCACCCTGTAAATTAGATTATAATTTGAAACAATAGTAAATTGAAATCAAAAGTTGACCTGTTTTGGGAATTTCTAATTTTATTGTTCATTTAGCCAATAATGAATTTATGCAAATGAATATTGCTAAAACCCATTGATGCCTCAGAATTTGAGGCTAAAATCCACATCAGTAGGGATTGGGGAAACCTTATCTTGATAATTATACACCTTCACCTCCTGGAGTGATGACATTACAAAATAACACAATTGCACTCACAAACCAATAAACAAATTATAATAGAAAAACCAACACTAGCAGAAATAATTAGGTATAATTGTGATTTTTAAGGATTTGAATTCAAAGTTCAACACATCTACAAAGATGATGTTATTAGTTAATGACAACTGTCAGAAAATAATTTTTCAATTACCACATCTCATGGAAGAATTTTCATTTTTATGGCCTTCCTATGGAATATCATGTCAATGATCCTAACTTAACAGGCATACAATCATATAGTTCAATTCACTGAACAGACAATATTATACCTCCTTCCACTAGGTCGCCTAGTAGGTTTTCATTTAGATGGACAACAGTCCCAGAGATGTATTGAATAAGTAGTAAATTGTTGGTTCTTCCCAATTAGATGAACTTGAATTTATTTATAGGTATTTCTACAAATGTCAAAAAATAACAAGGTTCACACATTGATAACAATATGCCGAGTGACACTTTTTTGTAGTTCCCTATGTTACTGTGCAGGAAGTAGTGCTCCAAGTAACACAATTGGCTAAAAAAATACTCTGGGCATTGCATGTAAACCATATGATCTTTTTGTATTATAACCTTTATGGTCCTCAATTGAACAGACATTCAAGAAATTCTTCATTTCTAAATGTTAAACCATAATTAAGGCTGCGCCACAGAGAAAAATTCAGTTCTTGATCACCATAAGTATCATTTCAGGTTCAAGAATAACTATTGTATTCAAATTAATATGCCCAGATTTCCCTCTTTACGAAAACAAAATGGTAAAGACATGTTTTCTTGCAAATTTTGTAATTGTGAATGGGCCACAGGGATGGCAAATCATTTAATATAATGTGTAAAATGTCCTGAATCTAATGGGTCAAATGATACTAGAGGACAATAACATTGTTATTCTAGAAAGTCCCTGTATCTTATGAATATTTCAGGATATAGGACAAAGAAAAATATTATTCATACACTGTACCAGACACTGTGTCTAAGATACCTATTCAAAAAGTGGATGATGATCTTATGAAGTTGGGAAAAATTTGAGCATTTTTACAAAGAACCAAGAACCAAGTTTTTGAGTACTTTAATGCACCCTAAACATAAATTCTTGTTTATGTTTGTTCATTTGCAATCATTCTGGATCATGCTCATTCATGCTCAGGGTCAGGGAACACTCTCCAAAAATACTTTCTTGAGAATTTTACATCACAATATGTAGGTAATGTTAAACAGGTAACCAGTTGAACATGTTATTATTGGATAGATACAAATTTATAATTTGCTTAATGTCCCTCAGAGCAATGTTTCTTCTTGTATGGTTCTCTTGAATTAAGGAAGTATGATCAAATTTCAAATTAAACTTGGAACTTGAGAAGCCCTCATATATTTCAACAGTTGGCTCTAGCAATATCTCCACATTGATTGAGATGTACTCACCTATAAATTCTACATGCAGTCAATGGTACTATTCCTAACCAAGCTGTACCAACTAGTGTATAATGAAACCAATACTTGACTGCAGTTGCCACTGAAGATAACAATCCTGCAGCCAAATCTTTCAAAGGCAGTCTTCTAGGCATATCAGGTGAATATATAGGTGTAAATGAAAACCTGTAGCCACACAATTCACAGAACTCTTTCCTGGAGTACCTCATCCATTGTACAAGGCATTCCTGATGAATCCACTTGATACTTCCGGTGCATATACAGGGATGGAACAGAGGTCTGTCTGGTAATCCCTCTGAAATGCAAACCCTACAAATCTCAGAATTTGATATTTCAGAATCCATGATTAACCTGAAATAAGAATGAAATAGTAGATTTTGAACAGCCGTTCAGGTAAAAAGTAATATTTTGCTCTCATACCGAAGTGACAATTAAATAAACTATTTTAGGTTTTCCCGATCATTGCATACAAAAATGTTTACCCTTCTATTTGAAGACAATTTCAGTATATAGGATCGTCACTCTGATAAAGACAAATGCCATGAGTGCACGTTAAGATTAATAAGGAGGAAACATAATTATGATAAAAGGAAACAAAAATATTAATTCATGTACTTATTTTACTCTACACAACAACACTTTGATAATAATATTAATAATATAAAAATATAATAATACAATTGTAATATTTAGAATTGATATTGAATTGACAGTTTGACGTTTGACCAAGTTTGACACTTTGACAGTCCATTTCACATCAGTTGCGTTTTATTTATCTGATTCCGCAACCGGAATCAGTTTGATGTGTCGTTTTATTTGCAACTTTTCCGATTCTGGTTGCTACTTTCCATTCGGTCTCACTACAAGGAATGATGTGGAATGACTGTTGACAGCTGTCAAAAAATCAAATTATATTGACGAACAAGGAATATTTTTGGCAGTAAAAGACATTTAGAAGACATTTTCAGCATTAGTTTCACTAGTTCATGATTCTTTCAAGTAAGACAGGTTTCATATGTTCATTCCCAGATAAAATAAACTCTGTCGATCTCAGAGAAGTTTCTTCAATCACCACAATCACTGCTCCAAATATTAGTTGTTTATTTATTTTCTAGATTCTCAACTCTAGTATTATGATTTTGAAATTATTTGGACCTCAAGGTTATGAAGTTCCTCGTTTTATTTGTAAACGTCATTCTGTTCCCACCACCGCTACCAGAATGGAACAAATAAAACGCAACTATCTACATGTAGAGATGCGATTTCATTTATTTATCCGATTCCGCTTCCGGAATCACTTTGATGATGTGTCGTTTTATTTGCAACATTTCCGATTCCGGTTGCTGAATACTTTTCATTCCGTCTCACTACAAGGCATGACGTTGACAGTTGTCAAACAATTATACAGGGTATGTCACGACGAGCTTACACTATCTTCATATCGAGAATCAGTCAGAAGAAATCCATGAAAATGTGCATGCTCATATTTCAAAATACGCTCTCTTCATGTAAAATACTTTCGACAATGCAGTGTTGCCGCTTCTACTAGAAAGTAGTAGCAACATTGATATTTCAAATAGAACACCCTGTATTTCATCGCATTTTTAGATTCTCCCTAGAGAGCTGATTCCATCAATGCATCACACTTGGGGACAATCGAAAATGATTACAGAGATATAGGGTGTGCAAAATCGAGATTTTTCAACTTTGGGATTTTTTTGTGTGGAAACTATTCATTATCGGTCAAAACGGCTCACATATCCCTATCTCAACTTCCGATTCACTATCTACTGATATTCAATCGGAACAGATACAGGTTGTTTCAAGATTCAGAATTCTGAGCACCCGGTATCTGTTCCAATTAAATGTCAGTAAATAGTAAATCAAAAGTTGAGATAAGGACATATGTAAGCCGTTTTGGTCATTAATGAATAGTTTCGACACAAAAAAATTCTAAAGTTGAAAAATCTCGATTTTGAACACCTTATATCTCTGTAATCATTCCCTAAAGACCCCAAGTGTGATGTATCGATGAAATCAGCTCTCGCTTAGCTGAAATCAGTTATGAAAAAACTGTTGCTATGGCATCGATCGTCATAATACCGAGTAAACAAAAACCCGATTCCCGTGGTGAGGAAATGCGTGTTTGCCAAGTTGTATCGGGTTAAGTATAGCTGAAATCAGTTGTGGAGAAACTGTTGCCATGGCAACGATCGTCATGATAACGAGTAAACAAAAACCCGATTCTCATGGTGAGGAAATGCGTGGTTGCCAAATTGTATCGGGTTTAGTATAGCTGAAATCGGATATGGAAAAACTGTTGCCATGGCAACAATCGTCATGGTAAGGAGTAAACATAAACCCGATTCCCGTGGTGAGGAAATGCGTGGTTGCCAAGTTGTATATAGGGTTTAGTTTGGCTGAAATCAGTTATGGAAAAACTATTGCCATGGCAACGATCGTCATGGTGACAAGTAAACCAAATTCCGATTTCCGTGGTGAGGGAATGCGGGGTTGCCGAGTTGTATCGGAGAATTATTGCTTCATTCATCAATTTCAAGAACACTCTTCAATGTAACCATCCTTCGCGTGCCGAGCTATTCGACAAAATCAAAAAGAAACAGAGCCATTTTGGAATATTCATTACGATGTATCGCGCAGGATATAGGAAGAGGCACTACAGGTACTGATTGTCTAATACATATGGAAACATCCCGTTAGGTCCACCCACATTTCCATTTGCCCTCATTTCGATTCACCCATACCTTTCTTCACGCGCACATTTTGATTCAGCAACAGTCTTAAAACATACACGAACGATGCCTTGCTACCGAATCTGAACGATGTTGGAAAATATATGTTTTTCAAGAAGAAGGTTGATTTGAGTCGAGTAAGGTTAGATTGTTTGTAAAGAGTAGTGTCCTTTTTTATGCAGTCTTCAAACACACACGAACGATGCCTTGCTACCAAATCTGATCGATGTTGAAAAATATATTTTTTCTAAGAAGGTTCATTTGAGCCGAGTTAGGTTAGATTGTTTAGAAAAAGTAGTATCCTTCCTCATGCGCTATTTGTTCCACACTATTTTGTCGCTTGATATTTTGTCTAGATCTGCTCATATGGACCCAAAAAATAAGAATCCAAGATCTATCGTAGCAAAAATCAAATCACGTCAAGAAAAGGATAAGATAATTTCTGCAATCAAAACGAAGAAGGGAATGAAGCTTCAAGAGATTGGGTTACCTAATGATTCTACATTCAACGGTGGTGTCTTCATAAATGATCATCTCACTCCTCATAATAAAATGCTGTATAAAACCACCAGAGATTTCAGTAAGTCCATCCAAGCGTCCTGCTGGACACGTGATTGCAAAATTTACGTGAGGCATCCTACAAGTGGCAGAATCTACCTAATCAAGAATGAACAATCTCTTCAGAATGTGAAGTAGACGTTCGAAACGATATCCCATTTCATCATCATTATCATTAGCGCAGAGGGCAAGCTATCAGTATATTACCAGAATACTAGAGGACTCAGAACTAAAACACACGATTTTTATGCAGCAACTTTGAACTCCTCAATAGACATCATCTGTATAACCGAATCATGGTTAAACTCTAATATTTTCGATGCAGAACTTTTCAATCTGAGTGATTACCAGGTTCATAGAAAAGACAGAAATCTCACCACTACTGGCAAGCTGGATGGAGGTGGATTAATTATTGCCGTCAATAATAAATACCTCTCCACTACTCATGAAAATTGGTCATGCCAAGGAGCATGCGAAGACCTGTGGGTTTCTGTGAGACTCAACAGCACTACAAATTTACTCATCTGCTGTGTTTATTCTCCACCTTATGCAAGTGTAGATAATGTATGTTCTCATTTAAATAAAGTGAATGAAGTTATTTCAAACCATCTGAATGATCTAGTTGTTGTGGTAGGTGATTATAACGTGCCCAATATCTCTTGGAATTATGAGCCTGCGGAGAAATGTTATATTGCAGCTGAAGTAAACTGCGCCTATGGAGAAAACCTTGTTGACACGTTTAATCTACTAGAGTTCAATCAGTTCAATGGTATTCATAACGCGCATGGTAAGCTTCTAGATCTAGTATTCAGTAACAGTAAAGAGATAAATGTATTGGCTTGTGATGCACCTTTTGTAACAGAAGATGCACATCACAAGTCAATAGAGTTTGATGTAACAATTGCTAACAAATCCTCCTTAAAAAAAATGATGCCTTTCAATAACGTCAAGTTCCGCTCCGCTGATTATGATATTATCAATCAGCAAATAAATAATGTCAACTGGCTCGAGAAATTGACACCTCTGTCTGTGAATGACTGTGTTACGGCTTTTTATGAGGAAATAAACCAAATAATTCCTACATATGTGAGGAAAAAATCAACCACGTATAGGTATCCTGTCTGGTACTCTACCAATACTATTTCTCTAATCAAAGAAAAAAACAGAATTCGTGGAAGGTGGAAAATGTACGATAATATCTTGGACCGCACTTCTTTTTCAAATCTACGGAAAGAAGTTAAAATCTCTATAAAAATAGATTATCGGAAATATATTGAGAACACGGAAACTAATCTGAAAACTAATATTAGGTCTTTTTGGTCATACGTGGCTAACAAGTCACGGATTAAAACTACCCCGTCATTTGTCGAGTCTCACAATGGAATATTCACTGACGACAAAGATATATGTGAGGAATTCTCTCGCTACTTCTCTGAAGTGTTTGTTCCATCAGATACTCCTTTCGATATCGAGCCAATAGCTATCAGTACACACAAATTAGTAACAATCCGTAATATATCAGAAAAAGAAATTATTGATGAAATTAATAATCTAGACCCTAACAAAGGTCCCGGACCAGATGGTTTACCTGCTTTATTCATGAAAAAATGTCGCGATTCCATTAGCATTCCTCTTAAAATTATTTATAATAAATCTATAATGCAAGGGATTTTTCCAGATAAATGGAAACAGGCGCAGATAATACCAATACACAAAAGTGGCAATTAAAATATTGTGTCAAATTTCAGACCTATATCCATGTTATCAATACCTGGCAAACTTTTAGAAGCTATAATAACAAAAGAAATGTTTTTTGAGCTCAAAAAATATTATTAGCGAGGATCAACATGGCTTTTTCCAGGGTAGGTCTGTAGTTACAAATCTAATGCCTTTCATTCAAAATATTGCAGAAAATTTGGACAATAGAAAACAAGTAGATGTCGTGTATACCGACTTTTCTAAAGCATTCGACAAAGTTCACCATCCCACACTGCTGGTAAAGTTGGGGAATATCGGTGTGCACGGCAATCTGC